CACAAGCACGTGCCTGCATTATGCAAGCTGGCTCCAAGTCAGCACTTTCTTTTATTTCCCCAGAGCTCTAGCTAATGATTAAGTTGTTATCAGCTTCAGGCCTCCCATCCCACAGCTGCTGTATTCACAGGCCGAGTGTTCCTCACATGCACAAATGTTTTTTTCAGGGGGGGAGGTGCTCATTTGTCCCCAAAGAGGGAGCTTTGGCCTGTGTCACTCATATGGCAACCTCCAGCTGAGCTTCGACTCCCCATTTGCAGTGAAGCACATGTCATTTCTCTGGTTGCCTTTCCTTTTGATTTCCAAACGAATTGAAAAAAAAAATCTGGATGCTTTTAATAATTAATGACTTGCCAGGGAAATTTCTTATTCAAACGAGGTTGCATTCAGTACAGCTGATTATCTGGATCCTGTTAGTGGACTACTGTTGAAAAAGTGGGAACAATTGTAATTACAGATATTTTGCTTATGCATTAAAGAACATGCACATCTTTAATTGGAAGAATAACCCTTGATCCATCACTTGAACATGATTAAATAAGCTTCAACATCTGACACAATGTCCTAATAATGTTATGGTGATGTTAGCCTGGCCTTCAGGATAATAATAAAATTGAGAGCGGGGTTGATGTATGGCCCTGTCAGGGCAAAAATTAAGAGAAATGGAAACTCTATTATAAATAAATGATCATTTGTTACACTCAGCTCTTTGATCAATTCCTCTGCCTGGGAAGGAGACTGCAAACGTGGCGCCACAAAGGCAATTACCTGTTATAAGGTAGCACAGTGGGGACTCTGATAATCGACTTTGCAAAGAAAAGATTGGTTTCTTGTGTCTGTTCTGCTGAGATGGTGTGAAGAGAGCGCCCGTGTGGTGGAGGGCAGGGGAACAAAGTTGGTAGGTCACTACTAGTTGAGATTTCAGGTTCCTTCACACCTTCCCACTGCCTTACTGTGATTACTGGCCTCATGTTTTTTTAAAAGCAGTTGGTGGTATTTAGACATCTATTTTGACCCATTAACTTGAATGGAAGCTGCGTGTCTGGATCCCTTAGACTGCTTGAAAAATCTCTCCACTTCTCAGTGCCTTGGCTTACTAATGTATCAAGCTGGTTTAAAAGAATTAACTAGAAGGGCTTTTAAAGCCTTAAAGCCTGTGAAGAGGTTTTGAATGAAAGGGACTAGATTTGCAAAGTTTGTTTTAACTGGAAAGAGAACAGTTCCTTATTGTTCCATATTTGAGGCAGGAAAAGTAAACTCACATTATGAATCCTATGCCTTTGGGCTTAGAATTGACTTTAGGTTTCCATTAGTGAACCAAATAGTCTTATTTTCTTGATCTGTTTCTGCATTTCCCTTGTTTATACTTTTCTCATTAAAAAGCCAGATTCTATGCTGTTATGTGGGGGTAAATATGGAAGAAATTGGCCTAGGTGACCATGGGATCATAGAAAGGCAGAACTGAAAGGGACCTTCAAAGGTCATCCAGTCCAATCCGCATCTGGAGCATTATGGAGTACTTGGAGCTCTGCTGCTTTACACCAGGGAACATTTTGGCATATAGGGATGGATAATCCGGGGTCTTCCAGATCACACCCAGGTAACAAGAGGGCAGAATCTGGCCCTTCAGTGGAAGATTCCACTGTGCAAAGAACGTGCTCTCAGTCCCTTATCTGCGTCTTTGCAGCAGTTGATTGGAAGGTGAGAACACTTTGTTCAGTGCATATATGCTACATGTAGTTAAATTTAGATCATCATCTGTTGGAAAATTGGTGGCAAATTCCCTTGCATTGATCAGCTGCAAGTCTAGCCAGGCATAGAGTTTCCACAGAGAGATTTTAAAACGTTTGGATTAAAATGCAAAAAAACCCAATCTCGGATGAAGTTTTCTCATACGTTTGGGCTCAGCGGCCACACCTGAGGTTTGTTTTTATTCTTTCCAAGATGGACTTGGATGGAACCAAAGGAGCTTGACTCTGCTCCTATGCACTAGTTTTATGACTCCTAATTTTCATTGGCGTCAGTGAGATTTAGAAGCAAGCACCAATTATTTGATGGCTACTAATTAATACTTTCCCCTGTGCAAATGAGTTAATGGCTCATTGTGGTCTGATGCTTCGGAGAGGAGGTTGAACCTCTCATTTTCGCTGGTGACAGATGACAAAACAAAGGAGCAATGGTTTAAAGTTGCAGCAAGGAAAGTTTAGGTTAGATATTAGGAAAAACTTTATCGCAAGGAAGGTAGGAAGGCACTGGAACAGGTTAACTGGAGAGGTTGTGGATTCTCCATCCTTAGAAGTTTTTAAGACCTGGGTAGACAAAGCCTTGGCTGGGCTGATGTAGTTGGGGCTGGTCCTGCTTTGAACAGGGATTTGTACTACATGACCTCCTGAGGTCCCTCCAACCCTATTTCTCTATGATTCTGATCTTGCTTACATGGAAATAAGTCATGATTAACTCCTCTGAAATCAGTAGAGGTACATTACTATACAATCCCTGTGATTGAGAACTAGCTTGGGTACCTCTGCATGGCATGGCACTGCTGTGTGCTCCATAGACTTTGCCTGAATGACTTTGGACAGCTCTTTTTGCTGCAGAGGATGAATCTGGCCTGGTAAACATTGCCTGCTGGAAAAGCACACTCTGTGGCTTACTAACATTTGTAAAATGCTTTGAGATGTGTGGATGAAAGTTCACTCTTTGCTGTGTCCTAGCACAGAATCTGTGCGCGCTTCGGATACGTGTATATTTTAGATGCCTTAAGTATGTGCCAGTTTTTGGACACAGATATCTGGGTGTGGGTAAGAAGGGAAGCTAATGGAAAGAATAGCATCCTAAGAATGTATAGTACATGTATTTAAACATCTGGGAACACTTCTTCTGAAAGCTCAGCTTGTCCAGGGTATGGATGCAAAAAAATGAACTGAAGCCTGTTTCAAACCATAAGACTGGATCTGCAGCTGATATCTGTGCTGTTTTACATCACCTGAAGAGCTGGTTCATAGCTCTGCTACTTTAGCTAGAACATGTATAGGCAGTTTGGACAGCAAAGAAATGAACCAGCAAGAATGCCAGGAAATTATTTTAATGGGGTACAAGGTGTCTTGTTATGAAATGCGGCTCTTCAAAACCACGCTGTTCATGGCAGTGAGGCTTTAAAGGAATGCCTCAGCGGTACTCAGAGCCTGACAGAGCTTGGTGTGATAGTGAATTTTGGAGTCTGACCCAGTGAGCGCTGGGCCTGCTCCTGCTTTCATTTACAGTGGTGAAGATCAAGAGCAACTCTATTGAAATGAAGGGAATGGGGTCCTTCATATTCAACATCAAAAACCAGAGCATTTGGGAGGTGGAGGGCAAAATGTAAGGACCAGACAATCCATTCATAATGACCCTCTCTCCATCCCTGCCCATGAAGAACTGAGTAGGTAACTCAGGGTTTTAATCCTGCATCCTCTCAAGTTGTGCCTCTTCCCCTGCCTTTCTACTTGGATTGTAATTAGTAAGCTCTTTGGGTCAGGAATTCTCAATTACTCCCTGTATGTACAGATTAGGAGCTTCTAAGTGCTTTTGTAATTCAGCTAATAAATTAGTACACCAATAAATTAACGTCCTGTCGGCTGCATCCCGGATGGAGTCAATAGAAAGTGTTGGTACCAAGCTCCTCTGAAAATCGGGCCTGTGATGTTTAACCTACAATCAGTGAATGTCTTCAAACATGTCTTAGGAGGGATAGTAGGACTGGAGTGTTGTTTTAGCTGCGATGGTCCAGGAAATGTATGAGAGGCAAGGCAATAAATGTGGTATTTCGTATTGGACCAACAGTATAATTGATACACTTTATTGTGTCTGTGGAGCATGGTGTGCCACCAGAGGGCACTGGTAGATCTCCACCGTCAGACAAATCAGAGTTAATTGAACACTTCCTACTTTAAGGTGAATGCCCAATGCTATGAAAACAACCCCCCGCCCAACTTGAACTGTTATACTTGAACTATTCCACGTGGTTTACTGCACTTAGATAGAAATAACTTAATTTATAAAGACACTTCCCACTTCTATAGTTCTGTCCTGAAGCACTTTACAGATCTTCTGCATTTGTGCCATCTTGACTGATGGAGGATTATGAATGCACAGAGCTTCTCAGGGTCTCTGGGTAAGGTAGTCACAGGAAACCTGATTCTTATTTACACTAATGCCTCCTTACAATTGCAGACTTACAGCTATAGTGGGTGTTAAGGGCCCTCACAATAACTTGGGATCAGGCTTGGAGTCATGAGCATGACCCAGAAGTCTCAAATGTAGGGGAAAGATCCTGGCTTTGCTGAAGTCCATGGCAAAACTCCTACTAATTTCAGTGGGATTAGGCTCTCAGACCACGTCTGTCCTGACCCTCATCCTAGAAAGGGTTTCACTCTCATGCTTGGTTTCATGCGACTGCATTTTAGCAGTTGACATATCTTTAGTCAGGACTTAGGGATTTTGTCTGCCAGTAAAGCCTCCAAATATCCCTTAATTCCCTCATGCCTCATTCCCCTTTTCCTCCCTATGTAAAAGAGGGAGAAATGCCTACCTATCTCACAGGGGGCCATAAGGCTTAATTCTGTTGGTTAATTCTAACAGTGCCCTGAGTCTGAGGGCACTATGGAAATGCAGAACATCCTGCTTGTTTCCATCCTGGCTGAACCAGGGGCATGTTCTTCTGGCAGCTTGAAGAAGCTTACTGTTCTCCTGATGGTGTGGCGTTTGGCTGGATTGCACACACAGCAACACGTGTTTATGCGAACACGGCCGGATGCCCTTGCAAATCTCTGTTAATCAAGAGGAAAAAGGCAACAGAGGTAGGGGGGCCGGCTGGACTAATTCACGCAGCTACATTTGGATTTGGTCTTGCCAGTTTTAAGCTGCTTTCCTGAGCTGCTCATTCTTTCAGTCTCGTACCTACCTCTCTTTTTGCTCCCAACAGCTCTGCTGTCATAGATAATTCTCCTTGTTGTTTCTAGGTACGTGAGAGAAGGCCGCTTTCGAATCGAGGAGAGAACACTGACCGCTTTCCACTGGTTGTACTCCCCCCACCAGCATCGCATAGTCAGCCGGGCAGATCTGGAAACCCCAAGCAGGTAAACAGTGGGCCCAGATAAAGAGAAGCAATTGCACAAGGCACCACGGATGAACTGGCTTTCTGCGGAGAAAGCTGTCCAGCTCTGCCCCCTCAGCAAGGTGCTATGAGCTGGTCTTATAGGTGTTTGGGTCGGAAGCGACCTCACCGGATCACTGAGTCTGACCCCCTGCCCTGGGCAGGAGACAGCGCGGGGGTTAGATGACCCCAGCCAGGTGCATGGTTAGCTTCCTCTTAAAGACCTCTCACTTGTATTAGAGCAGGGGTGGGCAAAATACAGCCTGCAGGCTGGATCCAGCCCACCAGACAATTTTATCCAGCCTGTGGAAGCCCACCAACTAATTGTACCCTGCCCAGCCCACACGCCTTGCTCCCACCCTCATGGGTGTAAGGGCCTGGTCCAGCCAGCATGCAGCTTCAGGGCAGAACTCCTGCTGCCACTGCTGCAGCAGCGGGGGGACCTTCCCAGCTTTCCCAGTGTCCTGCTTGCTCCAGGCACCAGGTAGGGAAGTGGCAGAAGTGGGGGCAGCAGTGAGGGAGGGGAAACTGTAGCTGGGTGGGAGCATAGAGCATGAGGCTGGGGCTGTTGGCAGAGCGACCCCATGCCCAGGAGGATGGCGGGAGTGGGGAGCTCAGGTGGGTAAGGTGTGGGTGTGAGGGAGGGTGGTGCACACCCTCCATGGTGCGCAGCCCCTGCCTGCAGAGGCAGCAGCAAGTGGCGGGTACTCAGGGTGCTCGTGACCTGGGCAGGCACTGCTGCTACCTGGCAGCATATGGCTCCAGCCAGCACTGCGTGAAGTGACAAGGAGCATAGCCTGGCTGGCCCACCTCTGTCACATGGGGCTCTGTGTGGCACACGTGCAGCTCTGCACCACTGACTGGGGGAAGCCCAGCGCAATGGAGCCAGCTGCTTTCCCCAATCCCTGCTATGCAGGTCCCGGGACTCCGCTGGAAGTGGAGGGAGGGAGTTTGTGGGGCACCTGCCAAGGGACGGGGCTACCCTTGCAGCCCTTGAAAACTCACCAAAACTCATTAAGCGGCCCTCCAGCCAAATACTTGCCCACCTCTGTATTAGAGGCTCCACTGCTGCTGAAGGCTAGTTGCATCCAGGGAGCTCCAGATTTAATGCATCAGCAGCTGCTGCTTGCCACTCACTGGATACCCCAAAACTTAGCTGGTTAATGGATGTGAAGAGCTGCAGCCTACCTTGTCATGCCCACCAGCAAGGATGACCACATTGGCCCAGTCTATAATACATTGTGTTTGGGGTTTTGGTAGTTTTCAGTGCAAAAATAAAAATTTTCCGTGGCACGCCAAGATTTGTTCTGCATGTGTTTTGTCAATTACTCTTCCATGACCTTCCCCACTTTTATTAGTAGTTTTGAGCTAGTCCAGTTCCTCTTTCACTTAAGGAACTGAATTCATTATTCAAAATTATCCATAAATCCGATAAATTGACTCGCTGACCATGTTTCTGTCTTCCCCTTCCTTGCATTAGCTTTGCAATGGCCCTTTCTCTATCCTTCCATACAGTCTGGTGGTTGTCAGTGTGAGAGCTATCTCCTCTGTGGCTCAAGCAATATGGCCCAGGCTTCATGCATTTCTCCATCTCAGTTCCCTATAAACTTTCACCTCTCATCTGAAACCAGCTGCCTGTTATACAGCCCAGTTCCTCACTAGTTTGCTATTATTTTTCATTTATCTCTATTTCTGTAATTGAACTGTCAGAGACAAAATCCTGTCTGATGGTGGAGAAAGAAATGGGGAACATTTTCTCCTGACGTGTCAGGCCAGTGAGAGAGAGCTAGGAACACCAGCTTATTCAATATAGCCTTAATGAGGTATGGTTATAGGTAATTGGATGGAGATGTAGCCCTTGAAATGGCTGGTACTCTGCATTAGCCGGGAAGCAGTTACTCAGAGATAAAAGGGTATGTCTACACAGGTATTTAGGGTTGATATAGGGGGTGGCCATCATCTACCCCAAGCCATGTGAGCCACATCTCTGTGTCTTGAGGGTTCATTGTGGCTAACACCACACCTGTCCACCTTGCCCTTCCTGTTTCTTGAGTGGAGCCGTTCTAGGAAGGAGTCTGCAAACAACTTGGTTTTCTTTACATGCTTGGTCCTAATTATTGGCAGTAGAGACAGGAAGTGTGGTGCAGAAAGGTGCGAAGTGATGAATAGATTGGGATTGCTGTACCCAATTGCTTTTACTCTAGGTTCAGTGCACTTGGGTGCATTTGAAACACGCTCCAGAGAAAGGAAGAAAAGGGGTGGGGAGAGCAAAGCTGTGGGGGATTGACATCAAACCTAGAAATTCAGACGTGTCTGGACTGGTGTCTGCTGGAGAGGGTTGGTGGGTGCTGAGCTGACTGCAGCCTTAAAGATGCTGTAGCTACAAGAGCAGACATAGCCAGAAATGATCTCTAGGCTGCCCCTCCTGGCCTCTCATGGGGAACTTGGCCCAGACTGCCAAGAATCCTTTTGAGGAGGAGGCAGGGGCTCCAGGCCAGCAGGAGTTGTCAGACAGCAGGGCTCCTGCTCTTGTTCATTGCAATGCCCAGGGCAGAAGTGAGCTCAAAGCCTTTTAGTTTATCAAATAAAAGCCACACAGTTTCAGGCAATACCATTTTATTTTGCATCGGTGGCTTCCGCCTAAGGGGCACAATTAGAGACCCCCCCCTTATAATCCCAATTCTCAGTTATGCTGAGGGTACTCACACCCCTCTGACCATTTAAAGAGGTCTGAAAGTGAGTGCAAATGTGATTTACAGCCCCTCTACAGCACCACCAGAATAAGGTAAATGAGTGCTAGTGTAGTGAGGATCGGGGCTTTTGTTGTACATCAGGACATGCTATTAAAAAAGCTAGAGCAGAACAAACAGCAAAGGTGCAGCCCTAGGAAACCACTCAGCCCTCCCAGATGGCTGTTGTAACATCTCTGCTCAGCAGTCTCACGCTCAGTAAATATGGTCGACACTTGCACCTTGTCTTTGCAGCTGATTTCCGTCGGAGCCCATCTGTTGGTGTGACCGTTTTTTCTCTGCTCGGAGAGGTCGGGTTCCAGTCGCAGGGTCGTATGCCGGTGCCAGGACGTGATGCCTTGAGATTGGCAGCCTGCATGACTCAAAGAAAGCTTTGCAGCAGGAAGTCAAATCCTCTGTGGCAGCCGGGACATGCTGCTTTTCATAATTGCTTTCAGGAGGGCAGATGGGGATGTTGCAAGCTGTGGTTGTGCACAGTGAAGGAAAGGCAGACACAGCAGGCCTGGCATCCTTGTCACTTGCACTTGCATAAATCAGGAGGGATTGCCTTGAACACCAGGATGTTATAGTACTGGGGCAGGTCCTCCTTCCCCAGCGTGCAGGGATGGAAATCTTGGAGGAAATTTGTTCTTTCAGCTAGAGCCCAGGAATCACTCCATTTCTGTCTGCCACAGATTTTCTGTATAGCCACTGGCAATGCACGTGGGTCAAGCTGTTGAAAATGGCTTTTGAATTTGAGTATCTGAACTCATGAGCATCCAACTTGAGATGCTTACAGTTTGACTTTGAGGAACCCCTCCAGAAACCAGGACCTGGGATGTCTCTACTTGGGCTCCTCAAAACTGAAGCTCCCCAAATCAGAGCCCCATAAACACATTGCCTTTAGTGCCTGATCACTGTCTGCCTTGCACTTTGTGCCTTCAAGTACGCCTGGCAAAGTGGGCATACAATACATCTGTGGTTAATAATGCTCTCTTATCTTGCAGAAGAGGATATATATTATTGTTTGTAAACCACTCTGCTCTGGCACCATCCCTCTAAGAGTCCTGTTATATCATGACTTTGGGAATTAAGATATGACTGGGCCCTGACTCCAGCTTACCCCAGATTCTGGCTTCAAAAGCAGAGCCAGGCGCTAAGATTTCAATGACTAAACTATGAGGGATGGATTCTTAACTGGAGCAAATTGGTACAGCCATATGGACTCAGGCTAGAATTTTCAAAGGAGCCTAAAAGATTTAGGCACCCCATAGGCTTCTTTAAAAATCCATATTTAAATTCTCAGTCTGTTGCAACAAAAGAGGACAAAATGACAGCCCGCTCTAATGAAGTCTGTTGGTATTGAAGTCAATGCACATATACTAACATACTGCTATTCATTATGAATGGGATTTTTGAAAGCATCTAAGTTCATGCTCTACTGAAAGGAGATTTATGTTCCTCTGCCACTTAAGCCTTTTTTTGTATGCAGTGGGTGCCTCTACCCGTGCACTTTGCATAGACTGATTAGCTCCCCAGTAAAGCGTCACTGTCTACACATGCTCTGATATTAGGGCACAGTAAATTAATTAACTCCACTATAAGATAGTACTGTCCCCAAAAGTGCTATCTTATGGCAGAGTAATTAAATACAATGAAATGCATGTGTGCATGGTGACGGGTTGGCTGAGGCACAAGGGTGCTAAAGTGTGGGAACTGCCTGCCACACGGCTCCACGCTTTAGCACTCCTGTGCCCCAGCCAGCCCCTCTGCTGCCCAGCGTTGCCACCTGGAGCCCAGGGCTGAGCCTGCTGCCAGCCCGGGGCTGCTCTGCCCTGGCTCAAACTGCTGTTATCCCCGATGCATGTGTAGATGCTGCACCCAGGAGCAGCTGACTCTAGCTCAAACTGCTCCAGAGTTTATTGCGTCACAGTAATTTCACGTGCAGATGCACCCAGTGAGTATCTCAGCTAGCCCTACTGCATACACACAGGTAGAGTGTTGCCACCTCTCATGATCTTGCTGTCAGACTCATGATATTTGATTTGTTTCATAAAGTCCCAGCTCCTGGAATCATGTGAATTATGTGAACATCTCTACTTTCATTTTTTGCAAAAAGTAAGCTTCTAGCCCTAATGTTTGCTGAGAGGGCCCTAAAATTTCAAAAGCCAGAACTTAGGTATAAAGAACAGTGAAATGTATTATTTCTTAAGACTTTCATGAGCTCAAGAACGATCTGACCTGGTTCTTAATG